TATCTATGTTTATCAGCGGAGCCTTCTGACATTCATCATACTCTTCTAGTATCATGGTCACTTAAAGGAAGAATTCACGATTAGAATGAAGGTCGAAGAAAGGGAAACTGACTTAGTTGAGGGACCCACGGACCTCCTGAGGATGCGAACTGACGCGCAATTCTCATGGAAAATTTGACCTCGGCGACCTATCATGCCTCAAAGCTGGCGGGTCCGGCGATCTCCGCCCACCGATCATCTGATCACTCGCCGTAGTTCAATACGTGGCGAGTGATTAGATAGCTGAGAGAGCGTAGTGTTGAAGAGGGCACAGCGATGAGAGTCGCATCAATGCTCGAAATCAACGGGCAAGGAAGGGGTCCCATTTCTCGGGTTCTGGGCCGTTTCTCATGGTTCTTCCTTCTTTCGTGTACCACTCACCATCCCTAGGTTAATTTGAAATGGGTTGCTTTTTCATCGTGAACTCGTCCTTTAAACCCACGTGATAGCGCGAGCTAGAGAATTATACGTAAAACTTCGAATATGAAGAATGTGGGCGGCGAAATTCGAATCCCTGATCATTCATGATTTTGTGGTCTTTTTCCTTCCTATCCTACCAAAACTGCTGGGCCGCTTTCAAACTCTAGGAAAATTAGAAGAAAAGTAGACAAAAAGATTTACATTGGTTGGATAACAGGAGATTAATTGATTAGAGGGTTGGGAAATTCGGCCAAAAAGATTACACAGGTGTTGAGTTGAGCATGAGACGGTCTTATCATGAGTTTTACCTTCCACGTATGAAAATTGGCATGCAGAGGATGGTCTTGGTGGTGTAGCCGGTTTTTGAGTCAATTTCGGGATTGAATCGATTGTCTTCGTAGGCATCTTCGATGTTCAGGCCTTCACCCGTGGACGCCACATGACCAGCAATCCCTCGATCCATGCTGAATCTGAAATGCCAAACAAATCTATTCATTACGAACACGTACTCCTTGATCCCGCTGGCCTTCATATGGCTACCTTGTTACTTACACTTTACCATTTGGATGATGAAAGTGGTTTATTAGACAGAGGCCTCGCTTCGGGGCCTTCCGCTTACCACGATTACGTCTATACTGTGGGGGGGGGGAATAAAAAAGGCATTTTGTTTCTACATTCATATGGATTCAATCACACTTTGCTGAATTCCAACCGAAGGCTGCCAACTTGGATATTGAAAAGCACATCCCATTCTATAAGAAAACCTCACGGGTTCTACGTGGACGGCATCAGAAAAATTTGCCCTGGAAACATGGTGCACTGGTCGAGCTCAATGGGGTTCTCGACTGATCGTGTACCATTACGACGGGTTCTGAAGGGCGGGTTCCGAGGGGTTTGCATAGTTAGAGCTAATGTCCCTAGGAAACTATCCCACAGTTGAATCGATTCCAAGAAATTATGTAAGAGCTTCAGGCTGGAAGCAGTTACGGTAGGGTCTCCTTGAGCTCGACGACGATGACGTCATATTTTGAAGACGGTG